AACCATGTAGTGATTGATCAGGAAACATCCCAAAGGCCACGCCACCTCTGGGAGCCCACCAGCTAGCAGGTCTTGATGCTGCAAAGTAAAGAGTACAGCCAGGTCTTGTGAGGCTGAGGGGAAAAGTTGGGGGATAAAGACATAGCCAGTAAAGGAACTGAAAGCTCAGGCTCAATCAGCTTGCATCCTTCCCCTTCTCCCAGCTGCCAGGCATGTGTCATGGGCTTGTGGAGAAACTTACATTCTGGGCTCTTAAATTGGAAGGAGAGATCAGTTTGGGCTGGGGGTGGTGGGTGTTCTTTTGTGGACTTCTAGGTAAGGGGATGCCATCACCAACTTCTAATGACAGATTCCTTTCTGAGAGCAAGACCTTTAATGGAGTCATCCCTCCCCAAGAGCCTTGGACTGCTGGATTCTCTTGGCCTGAAGAGAGTACCTGTGGGATACAGTGGAGATGCAAATCTGTTGACACTCAAAATTTTCCATCCAAAGAGTGGCTGGCTGACCCACGCCTGCCCCTTGGCAAAGAACTGACTACACAGTGTATGAGCCAAGCCAAATGTTTAGCCTGCCAAGCCTTGGTGGGTATCATGGAAGCTGCCAGAAGGACAAAGTGGAGGCAACTGAAGACCTGCCTCTGTTATGCCTCAGGAGGCTTCATCAAATAAAAGCCCAGAATCTAACAGGAGTCAACACTGGGATTCATTTCCTCTTACCCTTTCCAAGGGATATTCCAATGGGAGACAGGGAGATCTAGGAGTCATAGGGCCTGGATTTAGACTTGAGTCTAAATCACAGAAGTTGGGTAGGCCAATCAAGTCTCATGATGCCTACCGTCATGGGTACACTCTCCATAGGAGAAGAGTTTATTAGAGTTAAGGGGCTCCTAAAAGGGGGAGTTTCCAGGAATTGATGGCAATTTTTGTGACATTACTGAATGCAGGAGAAAGAAGACAGAAGCACAGGTTCTACAACTCTGCACCTCTTTCTCTATTTCCTTGCCATCCTAATGACCACGTTAAGGCATCCCTGAATATCATTGGCCTAAAGTGAGAGGTAGAAGAGACTTCAAAGGTCATCTAATCAAACTCCTTCATTTTGCCAAGGAAGATGCTGATGCTCACTTACTGGGTGTTAGTCACCTAAGGACACGTGACTGATTAATGTGACAATAGGAAGAGCAGTGAACTAGAAGGCAAAATGACCTTGGGCAAGTCACTTCTCCTCTAAGAATTTATACAACTGTAAAGAGGGCTGGGCTAAATAATCTGCAAGGTCCCTTCTCGCTTATTAAGTTTATAAATAATAATAATAGTTAAGGTTTATATAATACTTACCATATATATGTATGTATGTATCTGTGTGTGTGTGTGTGTGTGTGTGTGTGTATGCCAGGCACTGTGCTGAGAGCTTTACAATTATCTCATTTGATCTTCACAACACCCCTAGGAGGTAAGTGCTATTAGTATTCCCATTTTACAGATAAGGAAACTGAGGTAAATAGAGGTTAAATAACTTCCCCTACATCACCCAGCTAGCAAACGTCTGAGATCAGATTTGAGCTCAGGTCTTCCTGAATCCAGGGCCGGTGCTGTATGCACTGTGCCACCTATCTGCCCACCACCTATCTGCCCAATATGCTTTCTTTTTTTTGGGGGGGGGAGGGTTAGGCAATGGGGTTAAGTGACTTGCCCAGAGTCACACAGCTAGTAAATCTTATGTGTCTGAGGTCAGATTTGAACTCAGGTCCTCCTGAATCCACGGCTGCTGCTCTACCCACTGTGCCACCTACCTGCCCCACAATATGCTTTCTAAACCACATAACTGGAGTAGAAACTATTGTCCAATGATCAATCAGTCAGTGAGCTTTCATTGAGCACCTACTATGCCAGGCATTGTGTTCTAAAGCCACCATTCAGTAAGGGGAGCTAATGTATAGATCTATAAATATATGCAAAATAAATTTAGGTAATTTTGGAGTAAGGAGGCACAAGCATCTGGGAGATTAGGAAAGGTCTCATGTAAAAGGTAAGGCTTGAGCTGAACTTGGAAGAAAATTAAAGATTCTAAAAAGGGAGGAGTGAGGAGAGAGTGCATTCCAAGTATAGGAGGGTCATGTCAGGCTGAACAAAAGCATGGAAACAGGAGCTAGTATATTGTGCGTGAGGAATAGTAAGAAGACCCATTGGGTTGGGCCATAGAATGAGAAAAGGGAAGTAATGAATATGAGGATGTCTCCTAATGCCTGCAAAGGCTGACCTGAGCTGGAGGCTAGATCTTTCTCTTCTAAGCTGATTGACCATCTCCTTTAATTTGAATAGGTGAGGGGTAGGGATTCCTGACCGGAATATCCAGATGTGCAACTCTCTCTTTACAAACCAACTCTTCTGTTCTTGTGCTCACTTGAACGTTGTTCTACAAAGACTAGAAAAGAAATAGTGCCTGCCCTTAATGGGCTTACATTCAGGAGGGGAGCTAACATGTACATTTATAAATATGTGCAAAATAAATCCTAGGTAATTTTGGAATGGCTAGGTACCAACAGTTGGTGGGGTATTAGGAAAAGTCAGAGAGATGTTGTCTGTTCCTTGGGGTAGAAGGATGCTCTGAGGTCATATGGTTCTTCCAGGCCATCTCTTTATGGAGGGCAACTGAGTCACCCAAGGTTTTGTTATTTCTTTGGAATGTTGAAATTATTCTCTACATTTGAGATCTTTTAGGCCCCCCTGGAAGGAGCTAAGAAGGCAAGGGATATAGATGGGCTGATTTCACTGAATGGAAATAGGATCCTCCTTTAATACTAGATGGGAAAGGGATGGGTTTCAGATCCCAGAGTCTCCTTTAGAGAGAAATGGTGCTTGCATCTCCTTGAGGGGACATGTTGGCTCCCCCTATTGAATGTAAGCTCATTGAGGGCAGGGAGTGATTACATTTTTGTCATTGTAACCCCGACACCCAGAGCACAATGTCTGGCACAATAGGTAACTGTTCCTCTCTCTAGTCTGAGTTTCAATCAACAAATCAGATATTTACTAACCATCTACTATGTGCAAAACTTTGTGAGGGATACAAGGAATTATAAGACATGATCCTTGCCTGCAATGAGATTATAATTTAATTGAAAGAAAGGACAGCAGAGAAGTATCATTGTCCAGTGGAAAGAGCAGTGAATGTGGAGTCAAAGAACTTGGGTTCAAATCCTGCCACTGACCCTCAAATCCCTTTACTTCCTTGGGCCTCTTAAATGAGGGGTTTAGACTAGAGTTCTCAATGGAAAAATCTAAATCAATAATCTGTATTTATGCCAATTTAACAATACAAAGTAGTATGTAAAACTCACTTGCTACAGACAATACAGAAGAGGGAGAGATGCTTTGGGTAGGGATGGTCCCAGGTAGGGAGGAGATGAGTGAGTTGATGTCACCAAGTTGGTAGGTTTTAGCTCTGCTTTCTATGATTCAGGGCTGCCCAGAAATAACCCTAATGAGACTCTACCCTTCTAAAGAGCTATTCATCTGTAGATCTCCAAGCACCCTGAAAACATTCATTAATCCTCAGCAGAGCCCTTTGAGGTAGACATTGTACTTAATTTACCAGCTAGAGGACCTGAGAGATGAAGGGATTGGCAGCTCACCCAGTGACATAAGGGGGTGACTCTGAGATTAGAAACCAGGAGTCCAGCCTCCTGGTCCTTGATTCTAATGAGCCAGAAATGCTTTTGTAGATCTGATCTTGGGGAACTTCCTTCAAAGGCAGCAGGAGAATTTTATTTTTTACCTTCTGTATTAACTCCATTGCTTTGTATGACCTCTACCTCTCAGTCTACAGACTTTGGTTCAGTCTCTCTTTCAGAGTCTGTGAACTACATTTCCAGCCAACAGAAGAACTGAAACAGATACTATCTGTGCTGCTGGGAGCATCAGGAATGACATGGGGAGGCAGACTCAGGAGTCCTGGCTCCAGCTAATGGCTACTCCCCCCCCCCATCAGCCACGCCACGCCCTACCTCCAGTATTAGGCTGAGTTCTGATTCAAGCAAACTCATAGAATGTCAGAGGAACAGCTAAGATCTGAAATCCTTGTACAAGAACATAACAATGGGAGTCCTATACCTGTGAAATTTTTTTCTTAACCTTGCTGGGACCAGTGGGAGCACACACTTGGTTTACGGGTGTTCCACAGTGCTCAGGGAACATTTAGAAAGGAGAGGAGAGATGCTACCAGCTCAGTACGGGAGACTCAGTCTTGCAAAGTGATGTCTGTTCCTTAGGCTAGAAGGACCTTTGGTTGTTATACACTCCCTCCAGGCCAGTTCTTTTATTGGAGGGGTGGGGAGTTTGAGGGATTTTTCTAAGTTTCTACTACTTCTTTGGAGTGTTGAAACAATCCTTCTGGTCAGGAATTTTTTTCTTGTCTCACTTGCATTTCTCCACAGTCTTGGCTCCAGAGCTCTCTTTTTTAGTGCCCTGTACATAGTGGGTCCTTAGGAAATATTTACTGAAGATGATGATAGAGGAGCAGTGGATAGATCACTGGACTTGGATTTAGGAAAACTTGAGATTAAATCTGGCCCCTTTCTTTCTAGCTGTGTGACTCTGGGCAAGATACTTAGCCACTGCTTGCCTCAGTTTACTCATCTACAAAATGGAGTTAAGAATAACACTTACCTCCCAGGGTTGTTGTGAGGGTAAAATGAGATGTTTGTAAAACTCTTAGCATAGCACCTGGCACATATAGGTGCTTGATGAATGCTGGTCAAATCTGAAAAGAAATAGAATAACAGAGCTATTAATTTATAATCTCTTCTTTATCCTTCTCTTTGAGGATGCCAAACGCATCACTTCTACTGCTTCTTTATTTGGGGCTTTGTGGTACATAAAGTAAAGATGACCTTAGAGGAGACAGTCCATGAGTCCATAACGGAGTGACTGATGTAAGTGGCCTTCAACAACACATAAGGGAATTGTTCTTCTTCCTAACCTTGTACCTCTGTCTTCCAGGTTCCATGTATGATGGTTTGACTGACAATTACAACTATGGGACCACCAGCCGCAGTTCCTATTACTCCAAATTCCAGGCAGGCAATGGCTCCTGGGGATATCCGGTAAGGAGCTCGCTTTGGTTTTGAAAAATCTAGAGTTTTTGAGGTGCTCAGCCTGCACATATGGAGGCTTGATGTGGGATGGGGATCTGGTTGTCACAATTATTCAGGTGAGGCTCAATGGCCATGTCAAGGGCAGGAGTACCCAGAAGGTAATAAAACTCCACTAGTGACCTGCTAATAGTTTCATAGCTCTTCTTATTGGACTCTCTTGTTTCTGTGTTAGTCTGATATATCTGAATGTCTTATATGGTTTGATTTCTTCCTTCCTGAACTCCTGTTGGGGGTGATTGTAGAGAGGATCTTATTTTGGGTGACTTAGAAACAAGGCTGAGGAGTAGAACAAAATTCGGTGGCATACTCATTTCTTTGTCCCACTGATTATGCAGCCTGTTTCTCACCTCTCACTTCTCCGTGAATACTGCTGGCTACAGTATCCTTCATGGCTGAGATCTGGCTCAGGCTGACCTGGGCAAGGGTGGCCAGTTGTCATTCATCTTCAATGAGGAAGGATGGTCAATGGTTCTTCATCTTCGCTGAGGATAGAACAAGATAAAATTGGTTGATGGTGCACTGTGAGGGATATAGGTTCACACAAAGAGGCACAACTTACTGACAATGTAGATTGTTGAGGAACAGGTGACAAGAGGGAGGCTTCAGAATTCTTGAGAAATCTTTAAAAAAAAAACAAGACAAATTCCATTTATGGTGGGCTAGTTATAATCCTGGAGGTAAGGAGACAAGCTAAATAATTTTTTTTTTTTGGGAAGGATTCTCTGGTTTGAAACTTGTATTTGTCAGAGTATGATAACGATTCAGGATGAAAAAGGAGGAGGAATAGCTATTGATAAAGGTTTGCTATAGTAAGTCAGATTTTACAAACAAGATCACTTAGAATGCACCAGTCCTAAATATCGGTGCCTCTCCAGGTCATCTGTGCCCTACGTGCTAACCAGGGTGCCTAGTCTTCTTGGGGGGCTAGGATTTTCCATTCACCAAACCTTCTCAACCCAGCTTCAGTCACACAAGGCTATGCCTGAAGAGAGCCAGTATTGAGTGGATTAAAGAGGTGTTGAGGATTGTGGCAGAGGCTCTTTGAGGTTGGTTTTGGCTATCTCTGGGTCACTCACTTTGTTAATTGGTTAGGTCCAAGAACTGATTTTACTCAGGGAGCCTTGCAGTCGCAGATTTCTATAGGAACATCCACTGTTGATTCTGCAAATATGCCCTCAGGGTTGTGTCACTTTGAATAGACAGGAGAGACTCTGCTAGTATTTTTGTAGGAAGAAACACTGGGGGCATTGTCTTATCTTTTTTTCCCGGTCTTCAAATGTGTTCCCTGCCAGGTCTATTCCTCCTTTTATGACAAACCAAAATCTCTTCCCCACCCACTGCCATCCCAAACCCCATCCCTTCTCTTTTTCTTCTTAGCTGGCGGGACTTCAGACATTACTCACCAGGACTGCTGCTGGGGCATGTCCCATCTCTGCTCCGTCCAGGAGAGGCTATGGGAATGAAGAGGAGCTAGGTACACATACAACCCTGGGTGGGGGGTGGGGTGGGGAAGAGCTAGAGAACAGGAAGTGGAATAACTGATAGTGGAGCCAGACATATAATCAGTCAGGGGCTGGGAGAAACAAAACAAAACAAAATCCAGGCTTAGACAGAAGGTGAACTGGAAAAGAGGTAACACATTTGTGGTGGTGAGATAATCATGTTCTTGTGGGATTTTCCCATGGATCATGTATCTGGCTCAGAAGAAGAATTTTCCTTCCAATCTCCCAACCACTGGCTGAAATAAAATGGTGGTGCTGGGAGGAAGGCGGTGTGATTCACCTGCTTGTCAGGCAGCCAATATGAGAGACTTGTTCCCAGCAGTTTCACTATGGCCCATGTAGGCTAGGATGTTATAAAATTCCATGCCTACGGACACACAGATTTCTGAACAGAGTGGGATTCATAGATACACACACACACACACACACACACACACACACACACACACACACACGTAGTACAATAGAATAGAAAGATAAATGATCTGGATTGAAGTCCCAACTCCCATGCTTATTAGCTATGTGACTTACTATTAGTCTCTGAATCTCTTTAAACCTCAGTTTTCTAATATTGGACTTTTTGAAGCTTTCTATGGATTGCTCTAATAATAACATTTTGACCTCTTGCTCTATTGGTTTCAAGCAGAGTCCTGTTTGGCATTCAAAGCTTTTCATTACTCACACCCTGTCCCCACCTTTCCAGTCTTCTTACCCCTTCCATCCCACAGTGCACTTTGTGATCCAGTAACTTTGCCCTCCTTGCTGTTCCTCAAACAAGACACTCATCTACTTCTCTGGGCGTTTTCACAGGCTTATCCCCCATGCCTGGAATACTCTCACTCATCTCTGCTTCTTGGCTTCCCTGACTTCCTTCAACTTCCAGCTAAAATCTCACCTTCTGCAAGAAGAATTGGCTTTCCCAATCCTCCTTGACCCTAATGCCTTCTCTCTGTTAATTATTTCCTATTTATCCTATATATAGTTTGCTCCCTGAGTACAGCAACCTAACCAGGTGAAAGAACCCAAGAATAACGTGCGAGAATCCTACCTTTTCCCTGGGTTCACACTATCTGCCAACTCTACTGCTCTATTTTAACCTAGGTCTGGTTCATCTCCCTCCAATCCACTCTATCTCCCTCCCCCAACCAGGTATTATAAAAAGTCCACCATGACATGGTTCTCTGGATAGCCAGTTATTGCCCTTTCCTTTGGGGAGAACAAATGTCTTTCCTCCCTGCCCATCTTCCCACCTCTGTCACCATCTGAAGGCTTCTTCTTTTACAGATGAAGAAACTGAGGCTGTATCACAGATGCCAAAGCTGACCATATAATTCTGAGTTGGGGATTTTCCCAATAGTATAGGGATCATGGAACCAATGAATGCTAGAGCTAGTCACAGCAATCTTCTCCTGTCTCCCTTCCTCTCCCCACCATTTTACAATGAACAGCATTGAGTATCCACTATGTACAGATTCTTGTAGTAGACCCTACACAAGATTCAAGGGACATTCGCGTTGCCTGCCATTGGAGAGCTTATGGTCTAGTTAGGAGAAGAACATGCAGGTGAGAAAGAAACATTTTAGAGCTCAAGTCAACAATTACATATTGAGGGGGCAGCTAGGTGGCACAGTGGATAGAGCAGCAGCCCTGGATTCAGGAGGACCTGAGTTCAAATATGGCCTCAGAAACGTAACACTTACTAGCTGTGTGACCCTGGGCAAGTCACTTAACCCTCATTGCCCAACCAAACCAAACCAAAACAAAACAAAAACAATTATTGAGGGCTTTCTGTGTACAAGTTCTTATGCTAATCTTCCATGGAGGTTATAAAGAGACAGTGCCTACCCTCAGTGGGCTTCTTATCTAGTAAGATGAAGAAGACTGAGGCAAAGGCTGTCCACTGTTTTCAATAATCTAGAATAAGAGGTTGAGAGAATAATGTCCAAATTAACATAGCACTGAGTTCCTGAACTCATATATGGATATCTGGGAACTAGGGGAGTAAAGAGGACAGAATCATAGATTAGAAACCTCAGAGGAAATCAAATCCAACCCCCTTGTTTTACAGATGAAGAAAGTGAGACCTCAGAAGGCTAAGTGACTAGGTTACTCTAGTAAGTGACGGAGGCAGGATTGAAATGCAGGTCTTCAAGATGCTTAGACTAGCTTTCTTTGCACTCTACTGTGCTAACTATATGATAGGGATGGGGGAGGTGAATCAGGTGAGGTGAACAGTGCCCAAGCAGGTTGTCCTTGTGCCTGAAAATGGGGAGCTAGTCTCATTACATGGTTATGGTTGTTAAAATAAGGTGGCTCTTATTTTTATTATTGTATTCCTCTTAGGAAATGGGAATGCTGGGGATAGAAGAGCTAAATGTTTTGAAAGTGGAGTAAACATTGGTATGGGCAGATGGGTGGCACATTGGGTAGAGAGCAGGGCCTGGGAGACCTGAGTTCAAATCTGGTCTCAGACACATACTAGCTGTGTAAATGGATAAGTCATTTAATCATGTTTGCCTAGGTTTCCTCATCTATTAAATGAGCTGGAAAAGGAAATTGCAATTCACTCCAGTATCTTTGCCAAGAAAATCCCAAATGGGTCCAAAAAGAGTCAGGCCCAAATGAAAGAACAGAACAACAACAACACACATTGGGATGGTCAACTGAGATCTGGTTTTGTTTTTTTTGTTTTTTCAAAGAAAGTTCTTATCCTCTCTGTCAGCCTAGGAATGGTTTTGATGCAATCTAGCTGAGAAGCAGGGAAATGGATGAGCTGACTTCTAACTAATCAGGAAGCTCCCTGGGCATTCTGTGCCATCCATACCTGTTTTCCTCAGAGTTGTTATATCATTAGAGTTTTCAATCACATTAATAAATCATTGAAAAGTGGCAGAGTGAAATAGAATAGACCTGGGTTCTAGTGACTCTACAATGTTACTAAATCTCTATGATCTTGGATAAGTCATTTGACTAATTTATCAAATCCTTTTGTTTCTTCATCTTCAAAATATGGCAACCAATGAACATGATCTTGAAGGCTCTTTATAGCTCCAAAATTGTGGAATTCTATTTGGTTTAAGGATTGTTTTTAATCATTTCTACAGTAAGGAGTGTAATGTTGATATCCTAGACCCAGTCCTAGACCATCATAGGATTAAGTTGGACTGTACTGAGGCTTCTGCCCCAGTCTTCATATCAGATAATAACCTTCCACACTGTCCTCACTACTTTCATCTGAGGATCTCCAGGCACTTGGAAAATAGGAGATAATTAGCTCTTGCAACACCATGGGAGGTGGCTTGGCCTCATTACCCCCATTTTACAGATGGGGAGACAGAGGCACAGCACAAAGACCTGGATGATGGGTACTTAGCTGTAGAAATGGGACCCAGGAATCTTAGCCTCCATTTAAGGCTGTTTCCTGAAGCTCTAAAACTCAACACCTCT